ACGCGCGGTTCCATTCGGAGGGTGGGAAAGGGCCTCCGTCGCCCCACACACACACACACCGCGTCCTTCCCTGGGGAACGGCAGCCTGGCCGAGGGAGAGGGGGAGAGGGGACGCAGGGGGAGAGGGGAAAGCAGGGAAGCGGCGGGCGCAGGCAGCAGCCCCTACGCCACGGAGAGGAGGAGGGCAAGCGGGTCCAGAGGACTTACGGCTTGTTGGCAAGCCTCGACCGCCTCCTCCACGAGAAGTTCTCTCCCGCCTCGCCTACTGCCCCCCCACGTGCGCTTTTTCCAAGAGGAAAAACTTTCGCTCCCTCTCCTCCCCGCGGCCCCCCTCCCCTCACTGCTCGCTCAGCTGGGCCCGGGGACGCAGAGGGACCCCAGCTAGCCAGGCGGGCCTCGGGCGCCCTGAGCACAAAGTGCCACCCCCCCGCACCCCCACCAACGTACTTGCCTTCTGGTGGGTGCTGGTGGGTGGCCTCGGCCTCGGCCGCGGCAACAAGCAAGGGCGGCACATACTGCTTCCCGCTCAGAGTCCTGTGACCTGATTGGAGGCAGGGAGCTGGGGGTGGGGCTTGCTGGGTGGGTGCACGGGGTGTTCCTTCCTCTTTCCCGCCCCTGCTTCCTTCCCTCCCCGCAGAGAGCGAGAGCGAGAGTTTGCGCACAGGGGCGGACGAGCGGAGACCCGATCCCCGTCGCCTTCTGCTTCCTTCCCTCCCCGCAGAGAGCGAGAGCGTGCGCACAGGGGCGGACGAGCGGAGACCCGATCCCCGTCGTCTTTTTTCTCTCGCCGGATTTCAGGCCTGTCACCGGGCGGGCAGTGTAGAGCCGCATGCGGCTCCGGAGCCGCGGGTTGCCGACCGCCGGGTTAATGTGAATACTAATGGGCCTAGTCCAGCTTGCAAGTGTCAGTAACTGGGCCTTACTGCCTACATGGCTCTTATCACCTTCAAGGCCAGAGTAAAGGATGTGATAATTAGCTTTTCTTGGGAACCTGTAGTCCATGCGATGGGAGGGGGGAAAGGAGTGATGGCACAACCTTCTAGAGGGTTCCAGCAAGAGCGTGTTCTGATTGGATCTGAACCATCACCTGGCACCAGATGGCTCGAGACTAGTAATTGGGCTAGGAGCCAGAGAGACACCATGCTAACTTCATGATTCTGGTGGACTGAGGCCTGGACTATGATATGCTTGGCTACGTAGAGAACGCATAAGCCTCTGTCTTTGATCTTGAGTCTTTAAGATTGTGCAATCTAATACAAGGTATTAATGTGTTAACAGAAACTTAGCCTCCTTGTTTTTCCTCTGTTGCATGGCTTTAAGTATTTAATAAACTTCACATAATTTTACCAGAGTCTGATTTCTTGTGCACATTAGCCCTGGGAACCCACGGGGTCAGGTTTGGGCTTCCTGACAAGAAGATAAAATTAGGTAAAAAATGGGAATCCCAAGATTATTTGTACTCCTTAACACATGATACTATTGCTTTGCTTTTAGACAGTCTATTAAAGTTTTTTTCAAGTTAAATTAGTAAGTAAATGTTGGTGGTGGAGTGTCATCAAGTTACAGTTCACTTATGGCGACCCTGTAGGGTCTTCCTTTTCCAGGAGGAGAACCTGTAGGCATACCAGTCAAAGCTGGTTAAAGGAATTTTTGGACTACCAACAAATCTAGGTATCTCACTTCAAATACAAATTTAATAAAATCCCCAAACAGAGAAACTGCTCTTACAAGATAGTACCACCTGGTCTAGGATAGGATGATGCTTTAATCCATAGGTTCCCAAATTTATTTGGCCTACCACCAAAAGGCTGGACTATTCTTTCTTTATGCTTCCTCAACCCCCTTATTTGTATTCAACGCCCCCCAATTGCAGCCAAGGCTCTGACCGCTCACCTGGATTGTTCCAGCACCCTCAGGGGGTGGTACTGCCTACTTTGGGAACCAGTGCCTTAATCCCTAATCCGTTCCATTATAAGGCAAGACTGAGCTTTATTTTACTGATCCTCATCTAGCCCATTATCACCTCTGAATACCTACTCGGAACATCCAGTGCCTCATCCAGAAGCACAAGTGCCAAGCAGCTGTGTAACTTTCCAAGCACCACCTTCTGCTATGGATCTGCCAGACAGGAACCAGAGCGCAGTGGCCTCAATACTCATCCCCCAAACTAATTCTAGGAGATACCATGGTCAACAGCACCAAAGGCTACTAAGAGGTCCAGCAAAAAAAAAAATCACACACACCTCTTTGTAGCATGTGTCATGGCAGCCTAGACAATCTCTTCCTTCAAAGAAGCATGGACTAATCCCTGCACCCCAGGAAGACGATGGACCAGGGGTGAGCCAAGAAATGGTAGGCTTCCTCTCAAAGTGCCTTGTTCCACACCTCAGGCTTCCACAACTGACATTCACCCAAGCCAACCATGACCACACTACAATCAGATAACATTCTGTAACTTTCCTAGAAGCAGCCAAGACCAAAACAGACTAATTGAAAATGATCTGTCATTTGTTAGGAAGAACTGTGACTTAGCAGCATCCAGCTGTTCAAGAAGTTGCACAGTGAGGCAGCCATAGTACCTTGTTTTGAAGTTTCCAAGGGAATAGAAATGGGCAGACTTCTGTTAGGAGACTGGGCAAAATGATCACATTCTTTTAAACCCTGGAATGTTGTGAGTCTACCACCAAAAGCTTTTGAATATCTCTGAATGTGCAGAAAGGCTCTCATGTATTTGTAACTGCTTCTGGCAAAGACAGAGATGCTTCATTGTATATATACCTCCAGTGGGCCAACACCTCTGGTAGTTAAGTGTCACTCTACAGCTAAGGCACAGTGGCTATGTCTGTGAGCTGGGAGCCTCCCTTTCTAGTTGACCAGACCAGAGGCAAGCCACTCATCTCTACCTTGACCTCTGTAAAAGGGAAGTAACAACACTGGCTTACCTTAGAGGACTGCTGACATGGTTACTGAATACGTACTTCAAACACACATGGATTCCACCTATAATTTCCATGGGGGCAATGTTTGCCAATTCCTTTTCCTGCAGCAGCCCAAAACATCCCCAAAATGCTTCTCCTGGGGGGGGGGGTGTCACAGGAATAGCTGGGGGTGAAATCAGAGGTCTCCTGACACTGCCCCCCATGGAAATTCTAAGCAGGATCCAATCCACCATAAAGATAACCAAGGTGCACAATGCACATATGTGTCTGGAGCAAATAGTTCCAAGAGTGAGCCTTACTTATTGTTCAGTGCTCCTCCTTGATCACAGTCACATGGCCGGCATCCATCCATATCATTGCTCAGCCCCCAGTGTTCAGGCTGCAAGATAAGAACAGGCCATTATTGGTAAAACTTGAAAAATTTCAGGAAGTGCAAAACATCCAAGACAGTTCTGAGCACTGATAGCAAAACCATCTGCCTTATAGGGTGTTATACATGAAGCTGCCTTATACTGAATCAGGCCACTGGTCCATCAAGATCACGATTGTCTCCTCAGACTGGCAACAATCCTCCAGGGTCTCGGGCAGAGGTCTTTCACATCACCTACTGTCTGGATCTTTTAATTGGAGATGCTGGGGATTGAACCTGAGACCTCCTACATACCAAGCAGATGCTCTACCACTGAGCCACAGCCCCTCCCTTCAAAAGAGTCTCTCTCCCTCTAATCCACTATTCTTCCAATATTAATGTATGAGCCTAGAAACCATCCAAATGACAAGCAGAGGGATGGGGGGGGATTTTATCCCTAGGACCAGACAACAAGGTTACACTTACCTGCAACTGATGTTCATTGAGGTCTCTTGTGTGCAGGCACACAGTGGGACTGCACCGTGCTGGTCTACCACTGCAAGATTTTCTAGTTTAGAATCATTACGGGCATCCGTGTGCCATTGGAGCTGTTGTGAACATTTCCTTCCCAACGGTCACAAAGTCCAACAGCACAATGCCCCTTTCCCCTTCAGGTCTCTCTGAGCCCCCGCAAGCATCTGATGACATAAGCTCATAGAGGGCCAGGTGGGAGGAAACATGTACCTGCACAGAAGACCTTGATGAACATCAGTTCTAAGTCAGATTCTAAGTCTATGTGAAAAGTTTAAAACTCTCAATTTCTGGTAACATGTGAACTGTAGTTTGTGAAAATATTAAGTTACCTCAGAATTCTTATTGATTTACCTCAGACGTTTACCCATAATTTCACCTGACCTTTCCCCCTGTCATTTAATATATATTTTTTTAATGTTATAAAGCCTGTTGTGTGCCATTTCAGAAATTAAGAGGGTGTTCTTATCTCTTCCCTTAAGTTTCTGGGCTGAGCCAGCATAAAAATACAATAATGTGACAGGGTGGGACAGCCATAGATCTTCAGAAAAAGAAGAAAATAGACATAGGGGCTGCTCAGTCAGAAAGGAAGAAAAAAATGGAGGGAAAATCCTGCATCTGAGGGAGGGAAAAGGGTGAAGATGTCATAGCAGACTAATTCCATAACTCTCCCACCATCTCTAGGAATCCTTCTAAAATCAGAAAAGCCACCACTCCTGGTGATTCAGAATACATATGCGACAAAATTTTATTCTTTGGGTGCTGAGAGGCAGGGGACACATCAATCTCCAACGACTTAGCCATGCAAAGCATCTGCTTCGCATACAGTCTGAGATACTCTGATGGTGATGAAGATAACCCAGCACCTAGACTCTCATCAGCAAATGGGTCCGAAGGAACTTCTGAGCTCCTTTCAAATATAATGGTAGTATCTTCCCTTGACTCCTCATCTGACTCAAACATTGGATCCAGAGATCTTGGGACATATGAAGATTGCACCAGTACACAGACTCCTGGAGGATGATAGGTCTCTGTTGGTTCCATTCTTGAAGCCATCTTGTTGTATTCACTCCACTCTTGTAGATAATGAGGAGATCTAAAGTAAGGCCATGGAGCTATAGGGGAAAGATTTGGTGGCTACGGAGCTGAAAGTGATGACCCCTGATGCTGCATCGGATCCAATGGAGGGATCGGATCCATTCCAATCTCCCCCTCCAATAGAGACAGCACCGGCAAAACAATAGATGGCATTCTAGGTAGAGGTTTGGGGGGTGGGTCTCTCTCCCCTCTCAATTCCTTTGTCAGAACTGACTTTGCCCAGTGACACTTAATCTCCGACTTTGCACCTTCCCTATGTTTGCTCTCACTCTTAACTTTCTTAGCCGGTGGTTCTGAGCAGGGGTCTTGTTGTAGAAAAAGAGCTGCCGGAGCTCATTAGCATAACTCATTAGCATAACTTATTTGCATATGCCACGCCCCCTGACATCACCGGAAGTGACAGAAGGCCACACCCCCTGACATCACCGGACGTGTGTCAGAAGGCCCGGCTACTTACCCTCCTGCTTCATCCTCATTCCCAAACGGAATGAGGATCGAAGCAGAGGGCGGGGTAAAGAAGGGGGCGGGGCTTCACCACGTGACCGCCCCGCCCCCTAGAGGTTCTCTTCCGGAGCTCCGTACCTGAGAGCTCCCCCCCGACTAGAGCCCTGGTTCTGAGAGACTTCTTGGAACCGATGGAGATCAGGTTTATGCACTAGATGGTACTTTGTCTCCCTCCAGAACTGATGGTGCGGACTTTGTGGACACCACTGCCGGTGCTTTCAACTTCCCGGCAGCTAGAACCAATGTGTCAAGCATCTCTGAAGCCTGCAGGGCTTTCTCCCATAGTGCCACTTTAAAATTCAATGCTCTTTCAAAGCGGGCTTTCTGTGTGAATCGCTGACAAATTTCACAGCTGAGTTCACAACCTTATGGCTCTTGCCCAGGCATATAATATTTGTTCATTGTTCATTCATCTGTGCCATCTTTGTCTCACATTGGGTGCATTTCTTGAATAAGCTCTTCTGAGACATTTGAGGATCTGACTCCCTCTTAGAAAATTACCACCAAAAACTGCTGTTGTGGCCAGGCAATCTATGAAGAGAGGTTTTTCCCTGCAATCCAGGTTTGCTAGATACAATCTGTCAATTTCTCTCTTAAAGCTGGTACAAAATGATGACAATGCTAGAAGACAGACCTAGGCTGCGGTCAGATGTGCAGTTTGATCTGTTCCTGTTCCCTTATGGATTTAAAATACACGATCAGACAGCAACATCTTTCTGTCATGCCCCAGCTGTCTGCATCCCCCCCCCTTTACTGCATGTTTCTTTGGTACCTGTGAAAGTCCGGTTCTTTTGGGCTGAGCTAGTTTCAAAACAGATTTCCTGACTGGTCTCTTGTTTTCCAGCCACCCTTTTTTTAACTACTTAGTGAGGTGCACTTAGTGAGCTGCATATTCGCACTTCTCTCTCTCTCCCCCTCTCCCACAGGGGCTTCTCAAAATTGTGTTTTCTTTACAAAAACTTTCAAAGACGCCTCTGTACTTCAGCTTTTTTCTGTGCTTTGAGGAAAGGGTTAATTGAAAAGATTAGAGAGAGAGAGGACGGCAGTGAACTACATATCCCAGCAGGCTCATCAGTACTTGTGTGCATGCTCAAAGGAAAAAAAAAAAGTGGCTTACAACCCCACTCCCTGTCTGCTGCATCTGATAGCTCAAGGACGGGGTGAAAACACTTTGAGGGGGTAAGTCTGATCAGAATTCTTCTGTTACAAAAAACCCTGGATCAATTAGGGACAGGGCCACAATGGATCAAACTGCATGTCTGACCACAGTCCTACTCTGTCATGGAGAAGAAGGAACTGAAGGGGGAAAGGGCATTATGCCGTTGGACGGTGTGACTGTTGGGAGGGAAACGTTCACAACAGCTCCAGTGGGCAGGCGGACACCCCTAATGATTCTAAACAAGAAGAAGATCCTGCAGTGGTCGACTTGCATTGGGACTGCACAGAAGACAAAGATGAACCATGCCTCTTCTTCCAAGGTGCGCTGTTGTTCACCTATCTATAGCAGAACTATAAAAACAAAGGGGTCACAGCCTCAAGCACTAACACTGGCTTAGCTGCTTTGGCTCTTAATAAACAGCCTGTGCAAAAAGAGAAGCTTAAACCCTTCTGGTGCAATATGACACAAGAATCAGATCTGTGGAACCCTAAGAGGAAGACGAAGAAGAGATTGGATTAATAGCCTGCCCTTCACTAGCCAAGGGAGTCTCATAGCAGCTTACAATCTCCTTTCTCTTCCCCTCCCCACAACAGACACCCTATGAGGTAGTTGGGGCTGAGAGAGCTCTTTCGAGAACTGTTCTTGAGAGTACCGCTCTGAAAGAACTTGTGACTGACCCAAGGTCACACCAGCAGCTGCATGTGGAGGAGTGGGGAATCAAACCCAGTTCTTCCAGATTAGAGTCCGTGCTCCTAACGACTACACTAAACATGACAAGCCTTAGAATTGAAACTCCACAGGCTAATGCTTGCAACTTTCATGAAAGTAAACATTGTACCATAAGAATTTCTTATATAATATGGTCTCTGAAATGTTGACGGCTGGTACAAACCAATTCACAAGCTCCGCTCTCTGACCCCCACCATCTGAGGTGAAGCAGGTGGCAAACAGAGGCAGAGCTTTTTCTGTAGTGCCACCTCACTTATGAAACACACTTCTCCTTGGGGCTTGCCTGGAGTCCACACTACTCTCCTTTACGCACCAGGGCAAAAGGTTGCTGTTCACCCAGGCTTTTATAATAAGGGGCCGATCTCTTAACATCATTTCTCTAGTATGCTTTTTAGCCTGAAAACCATTTGATGCTGTTCATGGTTTGTTTTCAGGCTCTGAATGAGTTTCTAAACTTCTAATGTATTTATCTGTTTATTAGGCTTTATTTTGTAAGCTGCCTCAGGCAGGTTCCCTGGAGAAGTGGCATAAAACTTATCTAAATATATAAACCAATAAACAAACAGATCTGGCTTTCTCCAGAAAAATATCTACTGCTTAATTTTAAGGATTTTCAATTAAGTTTTATACTAGACAACTTACCAGGCATTCATCACAGCGCCTTCCTGTAACAAGACGCTTACAATAGCAGCTTCCTGTCTCCGAGTCACAAGGATTCCCTCCCGGAAGTGTGCCCAAGGGATTACATGCACAAGCTACATTAGGAAACACAAGCATATAAAACAGAAGCTAGGTGTTATGTTTGTCATTTGCACAGCATGTAATGTAACCAATTTACTTCTAAATCACCCCCCCCCCACACACACACTTTTCAGTGCAGGGACTTACTGGTAAATTGCTTTACCTATGTGACCCCTCCTGCATTGAGTAATACAAAAATTACAATCAACACTAATATGCAATCACATTAAAAAATGGTACAAAATAAAAATACAAAATGCAGAATTAACGACAAAAAATTACAAATAAACTAAGTGAGCCCATACTCAAAGAAGTATAGAGAGTGACAGGGTAAGTAAATAGTAAGTAAAGAGCCAGTTTAGTGTAGTGGTTAAGTCTGTGGACTCTAATCTTGGAGAACCGGGTTTGATTCCCCACTCCTCCACTTGCAGCTGCTGGGATGACCTTGGGCAAGCCATAGTTCTGTCAGAGCTGTTCTTCCAAGGACAGTTCTCTCAGAGCTCTCTCAGTGCCGCCTACCTCACAGGGTGTCTGTTGTGGGGAGGGGAAAGGAAAGGAGTTTGTAAGCTGCTCTGAGACGCCAAGTGAAGGGCAGGGTATAAATCCAATCTCCTCTTCTTCTAAATACAAATATATGTATATATTAATTGGACTTCTAGCCTACCCTACCCTGCAAGCAGGCGTAGGGTGGGTTACGACAATTGATAAATACATAATGCAACTTCTAAAAAACATTAACCAGCAATAAAAACATCAATAAATAGCAATAGTAACAATTATAACAATTGATGGCATCAGCAATTATTCCGTATCTGAGTGTTCCAGTGTAGATTCCCTACAGTGGGTGTAGGGTGCAGATGGTTAATAGCGCTAGACTGGGAAATTCCTGGAGATTTGGAGGGTGGAGCCTGGGGAGGGACCTCTGCAGGGTATGATGTCATAGAGCCCACCCTCAAGGCAGCCATTTTCTCCAGGGGAACTGATCTTGGTTGTCTGAAAATCAGTTGTAAAAGTGGGAAATCTCCATGCGCCACCTGTAGGCTGGCAACCTTAGCCTTGTACAAAATAATGGATGTCTGCATTTTTCTTCCTTTTACACTGCTGGAAGAAAAAGTAAAGCTGAAAATTCAGGGAAGGGAACTGAAATATCCCAGAATTCTCCTCTCCCACAGTTCCCTCCAAGCTTTAAAACCCCGCAAAGACTATAATACATATTAATATCAAATTTACATCCTGGTTCTCTATATAGGCTCTCTGGACAATAGATTTATAAAGGAAAGTAACGACTTCTGTTGAATTAAATTTGATTAATAAAATCAAGGTGTACAGAGTTAACTGCTGAAATCTGTGTTTTTATGTTTACTTACACTGACAACCAAGAGGATTGTCTCCACTTAATCCAAAGAATCCTTCTTTGCAGATATCACAACGTTCCCCTTCCACAAATAACTTACACCGGCACTGGCCGGCAATAAGCCCAGTGGAGAAGTCAGTGTAGCGGTCACATATCCCACCATTCTGGGAGCCAATTGGATCACAGTTGCATGCTAAAAATAAAAAGCAGAAACACTTTAGTCCACAAACCACTGGACAGAGGGCTCAATCCAGAGTATTTTTTTCTGCAAATGGGAAACACTTCTGGCCGCAGAACAGAACTTTCCTGCCTTCCCTTCCCCATTGCAGGCCACTGATCTCCCCAAAGTTTTGATACTGGGGGACAGAGGAGACCCTCAGGAATGGCATGGGGGCAATTCGGGGGTCTGTAGGTGGAAGGGTGGTTGGCAGAAATCACATTAGCATAATATGTAGTCTGGATCCAACACAGAAAACATATTGCCAAACATATTACCCGGAGGCAGCTTTGGAAGGGATGAGGGCTAACAACTTGAAACTTAATCCCAACAAAACAGAGGTACTGCTGGTGGAAGGAAGCCCTGAGCCAAGAGATGGGTTATCCTTTGCTCTGGATGAGGCTGTACTCCCCCTAAATGAGCAGGTACACAGCTTGGGGGTGTTCCTGGACCTTTGCACCAGTTTCGGCTGGTGAGCCAGTTGCAGCCCTTTCTGGGCAGAAAAGATCATGCCACTGTGGTGCATGCCCTGGTAACATCTAGATTCGATTACTGCAATGTGCTCTACATGAGGCCACCCTTGAAGACTGTCCAGAAGCTGCAGTTGCTACAGAATCCTGCGGCCAGAGTGCTAACTGGAGTGAGTTGTAGGAACCATATCACCCCAATCTTGTTCCATCTGTACTGACTTCCGATTTGCTTCTGGGCAGGGGTCATTTCGTAGAAAAAGAGCTAGGGGAACTCATTAGCATAACTCATTAGCATATGCCACACCCCCTGACATCAGGGGCCCGGCGGTGGACCTGCAAGGCCAGCGAGAGTGCAAGGAAGCCCCGCCAAGGCCCTCCCTGGCCCCAGGCAGGCAGGGGTGGGGAGAGGCAGGGAGGAAGCAACTTACCCTCCCTCTTCTCCTGCCTCCTCCTGGCTGAATGAGGGCCGGAAGCAGGGCGGCCGGAAGCAGGGGGCGGGGCTTCGTCATGTGCCCCGCCCCCCGCACCTCACCCGGGGGAACTGCGTTCCCCCGCGTTCCCCCCCGAAATGACCTCTGCTTCTGGGCACAATTCAGAGTGCAGATATTGACTTTTATTTTTATTGCTTAAACTTCTAAAATATGAATCCTCTGCTTATCTAAAACCATTGTGTACCACTACTTTAAAATTTTTATTATCTATATCCTTTCCCTCAACCACTGAAATGAGGAATTACAACTATTATCAAATATAGATAGCCTTTCTGAAATATACATTAATTCCTGAAACATTTCCATTTATAGCTTTCAGAACAAAAGTGAAACAACAAACCTTCAAAATCACAATGATTAATTTCATTTGTTCGGTTGTACAGTCCTATCAATGCACATGGCAATCTATTCAGAAGAAGACAACTTGCTACCTCAGAGAACTTACAATCTACAATTCACCATAATGGAAACAACATGAGGAAATGGAGGTGGGGGATAAACAGGGGAAGAATTATGCTAAATATTAGTGAGAGAAAGAGAGGAGTAAATGATGAGGCCTTTGCCAGGGTGCCTTACTGACTGTGTTTCTCATTGATTGAGACAGGCCCATCATTGTACTTACGTTCACAAATGTTGGGGTCCCGGATATCTCTCTCTGGATGTTGGAAGTAGAAGGGTTTGCATTGCTCACAGTTACGCCCCACAGTATTATGCTGGCAGTCATCACACACTCCTCCACTGCTATTTCCAGTTCCCAGGTACACAGCCATATCAAAATGACACTGTGTAGAATGTTCATTGCAATTGCATTCTAAGTAAAAATAACAGATTCCAGGTGATGACCAATTACTTTAAAACATTAAGTAACTGCATTTTAAGGGACTGAGCATATGGTAGCTGCCTAACTAGACTAGACTACTGTAACGCTCTCTACATGGGGCTGCCCTTATCGCAAATTTGGAAGGTACAACTGGTGCAAAATGCTGCAGCCAGGCTGTTGATGGGCCTCCCAATATGGGAGCACATTCAGCCTGTGCTGGAGGCATTGCACTGGCTACCAATAGCATATGGGGAGGGTGGGGTATAAATTAAATTAATAAATAAAATAAATAAATAGATACCGAATTCGCTTTAAGGTGCTGGTTCTTACCTTTAAAGCCCTTTATGGTCAGGGAACTACATACTTGAGGGACCGCCTTTCCCCACATGTTCCCCAGAGAGCACTGCGTTCAGGGTCTCAACACCGACTCATCCTTCCCGGACCAAAGGATGCCAGGCTAGCTACAACCAGGGCCAGGGAAAACGCCCTGTCCCCTGAAAGTCTTAAAGCAGCCTGAGCCACCCGCACAATATTAGATCTGGATCGACCACTAGGATGGCACGGAAGTCTGAGCACCATCCCAAATGTAATGTTAAACTGTTATCTGCTTAATGGTAATTGGATTATTATTGTTAGCACCTTTTAATGTTGTAATTGTTATATGGTTTTATGATCATTATACTGTTTTATTATTCTTTTTATGCTGTTGTAAGCCACCCTGAGCCAGTCATGGCTGGGAGGGCGGGGTAGAAATGTAATAAATAAATAAATAAGGTAAATCTATATTCAACTGTACACAACTTTGTCATTCCTTCCAAGTTGCTTTGTGTTACAGATAAAGGAGAATGAAGTAGAAAAAGCTGGTGTGACGCTTGCTCATTGTCATGAACCAACCTGGTTTAAAAAACTGGAAGAATCATGCTTGCAGGTCTGATTTTGGTTGCAGAATTTATTTTGCAGGCTAGCTTTACTCTCTGGTGTTTTGTTGTCAGGCTGGCTTTTCTTTTCATCACACCACCACAGATGCAGCACGAAAGCTCCCCACACCCGATTCCCTCCTTATGGCTCAGGGGGGACGGGACTCGCAGGGGGGAAATC